TTTCCAACTAGCTTTTGCCTCGAGATTCGTGCCCGATTAAGCTAATTTTGCATGACGTATCAAATCTTATCATGTATGTGTCAGTCATATCATTGTCATATATCAATATATATATTCATATCAGTACCATTTCAATCAGGCTACATGACACTCTTGTCAATCATCTCATTAATCAATCAATCTTAAATGTCATTAGTCTTATCAACTATCATTCTTATTTATCATCAACCTTCAGTTACATATTTGCATCTACCAACATGTTTGTCTATCTTATATGTCATCTATCATATCTATCATTTTTATATTCATCATAGCATGTATACACATCAATATAAAATTTAGTAAGGCATAATGTCGAGCTTTAAAGTGGTGTTTTCAATATCTTAAACATCAATAATTCTCTAGTTGGTCATTAATTTTTAATTTAACTCCAAGTATTAACTAGTTGGTCATAAATCTTTATCTTATCATCGTTCTTTATAAATCATAAAGTAATCACATGCAATTTTTAATAAAATTAATAAAAAGACATCACTTTTTCTCATTTAGCATAATTCGATCAATCCGTTGTAGGCTAACATCTAAGATTACTCCACTAATCTTTTATTTTAAAAAAAAAGCTAGTCAACCATAATAATTATAGTGTTGGTAGTCATATTTTTTTGCTTACATGCAAATGCACAATTTTTATATATTAATTGAATCATTTTATATATATAATACAATATATATCTTATTCATATGCAGGTATTATGCCATGAAACGCATGTTATGCCAAATAAATGATAATCATATATTGGATAGCCTTGCTCGCTCTCCTATCATTGACACTTGCTTCGTACTCAAGCATGCCTCGCGCTAGCACTAGGCCTCATCTCGCTCTCACGCTCATGGATTGCATCACGCTTGCCTCACTCAGGTCAACGTGTTGGGTTGAATTTGGGATCAAATTTCTGACTCGTTTATCTATTTGGTCAGGTTTGAGTTGGAGCAATCAAGGTGGGTCAATTTTGAGTTGGACCCAAACCAAAATTGGAAACTCATTTTGACACCCATTATAATAATAATAAAATTGAGTTGTAACAATAAATCAATATAGTGATATTAAATCAATACAATTAATGTAACCCCTTAATCACACTAAACAAGTAAAAAGTTATGGCTTAAGAAGTGTTTTTTCAATAATCAGTAAATTAGTAATTGTTTGCTCAATAAACAGAGTCATCCCGAAGAGTACAGTAACCATCTCCTTATAACTCTTAATTAATAATCATGTGAATCAATAGAGAATAATGCCAAACCATGATATTTAAAGAAAAGCTTATAGGCCCACCATAATGCACATGTTAGTTAATCTCCATTCATATTAGTAAATAAATAATATTTACTTATTTCCACACACATTATTACCAAAAGTAATAGTAACGAGTTGTTATTCAATCACATGCTCGTATTCACTTACAGTGCTCTTATTAATAGTATGCTTGTATTAAAATATTAAATTACTATTTTGTATAAATTGTATAAAATGCAATAATTATCATTTTATCTGGTAAAATTATAAAAGCAACCAGTCAAAATATTAAGAATAATTATCACTATAATATGTACAAATGTACATTATAGAAGTTCACTAAATCTAGAGAAAATATGATTAAAATTATTATGGGAGAAATCTAATGGTCGAAATCAAAATATTTTAAAAAAAGAGAGAGAGATAGAAGTTGTAACGCCCCATAGTCAAATTTGAAAGGATTGTATAATTATCATTTTAAGAATATACTTGAGCTTGTATAAATCATTAATATAAACAATAATCAACCAAAGCAATTAAAATCATATAGATCAAGATATTTTACTATTTATTCACCAAAAATATCATTATATTAGCTAGGAGATTACTACAATTACTAATCTATCACAAATTACTGACTACAAAAGAATAAGAGAAAATGCATAACAAAATTTAAGAAAACTTGAGAATATATACCAATATCACTCCAGTTGGTCATGATCCATTCTCTGACCTAAAATAATTAAAAATTCACATAATAAACTCAAAAGCCTAGCAATAATCTCAAACTCCATAAAGTTTTCAATGCAATTACTAGATAATCAATATAATATGCTTAACCTAATATAATAAATAGCAGTCAATATAGTTAATGACCAAATATTATCAACAAAATGTTATAAATCAATAAAATAATGGTGCATAAATCATTAAAAAAAACTTATATATTAATATGTATCATCATATGTATATATATTATTAATGCATCCAATATTATTAATAATATTAATGTATCTGTCAATGATATCAATACAAGTATGCATCAATATATGATTTAGCAAGATATGACATTCAGCTTTAATATGGTGTTTTCAACATCTTTTATCCTATTTGATTCCTAGTTGGTCACTAGTCATATCAATTATCACATATTCAATTAATCAATTATCACTATAGATAGCTTTATTAAATCAATAATGAGTCATGAGTCTGTGTCCATCGGCATAATCAGTCATCTATTATAAACTAAAATTACAATAACACCACAAACTAATTTTAAAGGAAAGCCCGTCAGCCCATCCTCATACATAAGATATTATATTTTAACAGTCAAACAATTTAATAGTATTAAGAGCTAGCCATTTTGCTTATACAAATGTCACAATCAAAATGTAGTAGGAAATAATCAATTATGTTCATTACAAGAAA